CCGACCCGCCGTGAGGGGAAGAGGGCTCCGGCGCGAGCCCTCCTGAGGGGAGCGAGCCCCGTCCGTTGCTCAAGGCAGTGTTTGGCCTTAGGCGGAGGAAGGTGACGGGTCTCCCCTGTTACCGGCCCCCGCCGGATGAATACTGATACTAAAATTATTAATCGCGAGGAGAGCAGCTCCCACTGCTCTCTGGAGAAGGCTCTAGTGGTATGCGGTGGGTCCCCAGGGCAGCGTTACCCCCCTCCCCGCCCTGACTGAGATAGCTCCTGAGGAGTGAAGTTCCTTGGAGGTAGCTCATAGTAAAAACTAACGAGGTTAGCTCATTGCAAAAAAGGAGGATGAAGTCACTGGACATCCTGCAGGAATAACTCCTACACCTGCTTCAGAAAGACTTAACGCTGCGTCATTAGGTGGAAGGGGGAAGGCTGCAGATGGGCTCTGGATATCAGCAGACACTGAAGTTTCTGAAGCTGACGAAAGGGGAGTTCAGCCTACAGAAAGAGTACTGTGCTGTATTCCCCATAAACATCCCACTTACCCACTCTAGTCTCAAGCTGCTCATGGGTACAGCGGGGAGAAGAATTGGGCTTGGTCATTAAGGGTATATATTTTAGCTCTCGGGGGTCCAGAAGAAACCTGTCTCCTCCTTCCTTCCTGCCAGTTTGCAAGGTGAATATTGGTCCTGCCTGCACATCTTCGGGAGACAGCAGAAGAGCTTAATCTGGAAGTCTAGAAGCAAAGACCTTTAATGCTCTAAATTATCCAGGGCTTGTTAAAACAGTAGGCGTAGAGCCTTTCTCAGCATCTGCTATTAGGGCCAGACTTTTACTGATGGACAGTACTACATAGCACCAACGTCTGAAGGGCAAATGCATATATAGCCAGATAAATAAGGGAACTAAGGCCTTAAACACAAATCCCATCAGAGAGACATATTATGAGGTAATATAACATCCTCTTAGGTGCTGTCCTTACCCTGAATGAAGTTATTAACACATAAATTATTGTGAATAAATCTGATTATTTTGCTTTGCTGGCTATGTGTAGCTGTAGGCTTTGCATGATATTCTACCTTAGCAAACTTTTCAGGTTGATTGTAGTAACGTTTTTCCTGTCAAAAATGGATTAGGAGTAGATTGGGAGTGCGTTCTGAAGAAATACATTTTTCTATTACTAACCCTCAGAAATGTCCCATATCTTTCTACCACAGCTCACCTAATCTAGATCTATCAAAACTGATTCAAAGATGCTGCTGTGTAATGGCTTACTATATTAGGTATTAATCAGAGTTGAATTTCTCCTGTGTGGATGGAGTCCCTTAAAAGCACTCCCAGTGTTTAGACAGATCAGTGTCTGCATATCCAGTATAGATGTCCAAAGACTTGCACATGGAATTGCTTTCCATCAGAGATAATCTATTCAGAAGAGTTATTTACAGACTTAGATCGTCAAGTCATCTATGCTGTCTGCTCAAAACTTAACTGCTGTGTTAATCCGAGTGTAACTTTTCATTGTCCTTCATTTGCCCTAAGTGGATTTTGGTAGCTACTACAGTAAGAGTCTTCACACATTGCTAAAGCCACTTTTATTGTGTTAATGTTTAAAGTTTTCAGAATGACTTCCTTGGTTGACGTGCCCCTGAATTATGAAAAGATGTTTGCTCATCGATTCACATCAGATGATGAAGAATTCCAAGAATATCTGAAACGCCCTGCAGATCCCCCTCCTATAGTTGAAGAATGGAGAAACAGATCTGGTGGCAACCAGAGAAACAGAGATCGGTACTGATTTCTTTTTTTTTTTTTTTTTTTTTAAATCTTGGTAGTTTCACAAATATATAGTTAAATGACCATTTATTTCAGAAGCAAGATAGGAATTTGTTCTGTTAATAGAAGTATCTTCCTGTTACTTCATAGGTAACTATGTTTAAGAGAAATAGCTTTCTCTGAAAAGTAATGAGGTTTTACATTTTCTCTGTATTGATAGTCAAAGTTTTTGCATTGTGTATAAAAGTATTAAGTAATTTGCTTTTTCGTAAGGAATGAGCTGGAACCACTGAACCCATTGCCCTGGGGTTTGTTACTGCACAGCCAGGAACATTTTTCCAGAGGGGAAAGATGAGAGTTCTGCAAAACTAAGCAGCCTGTCTTCTGGATAATAACTGGCAGGAAAATGTGCAAAGGAACAGGTTAATAGTTTGATTATCTCTTGCTCCCTGTCCAGAAAAACGTTTCATTTGTAACCTAAATATTTGCTGTACTTTGTTAGATTAGCCTGTATTTCTTTCATCTAGTAGAAATGACTGTAAAATCCATCATCCAATCTGTCTAGCAAGTGCAATGTTACCTGCCTCCTGCAAAATATATTGCATTATTTCTTCAGGATGTAATTGCAGCTTTTTACTGAATTCTGGACAGCAACATCTGATTTTTATGTGACTGAAAAATGATTACAGCATATAGTATGTATGGTAATACTAACATCATCCTTTAATATAAAGTAGTTAAACTCCAGTCCAACTAAAACCGGGAAGACTTCTTAGCTAAATATCTAAATAGGATTTGTGCCTTACCTGAAGAAAAGGACAACACTCTAACTTTTTCTCACCCTAAAAGGTTGTCATTAAGTTAAACACAGAATCAGTTTCTACAGATTAAAAAAAAGGGTGACTGTTTAGGGAGATGTTCTTACAAAACTTTGTAGTTCTTTAACTAAGGAACTCTTACACTCTGGTCACAAAGTGAACCTCATGTAAATGTTGTTTGTCTACAGCACACCATTGAGATATCCAAAGAAAATGACTGTGAGGCAGCTCAAGTGTTGATAGGAATCGAGATACAGCTGAAAAGCCAAAATTTAGACTGAACAATGGCTAAATACCACTGATAAGATACACTCTCTTGAGTATGGGTATCTATAAGAGACCATGAAGCAGTGGTAGTATGTGTTTTAGGCAATACGCGAATTCCAGGACTCTATGCTGTTAGGTAGGTAAATTGTACTTATGCCTGCTTTGCCACAGCTTTTAACCATAAAGTTACTAGATTGAACCTGGCTTTGATACAGCTATGGCTGTATCTTCTGGTTGTTTTTTAGATACACAGTCTGTTTGCGTCTCTATTCAAAGTTCCAGCAGTTCACCTAATGCCTGTGAATACTTTGTGTTAGGAAACAGACTGTCCTTCCATTGCTTAGCAAATAGTGTGTTGGGTAGTAGTAAGAAATTAATGAATTATCTTGGATGACTGTAGATCTGTTTTTATCAGTTTTTCATAAAAACAGGTAAGTAATTGAGTGTATAAACAGTTAAGTGGCAGTTTTCATGAGAACTGTAAAATTTAAGAGTTCGTTGTCATTCATCTTTTTAAAATCTCACAATTTGTGTGAATCCTTGACATTTCTTTTCATTGCAGGTTTCAAGATGGTAGATATTTTAGAGGGGACAGATACAACTGGCAAGGTGACTATAGATCTAATCAGAGGCCAGAAAGAAGTTGGGGTAATAACTACCAGCAGCACAGACAAGGACAATCGTACTCCTCCCACTACGGACAATATGGCTACAACTCCTACAACCCAGGGCCTCGTTACCACCCCTACTGATGATATTTGTGGTTTAAAAGTCCAGTAATGCTATGTAACAAATTCAGTTAGACTTCAGTTTTCTTATTTTTCCACAGTCTTACAGAAACTGAAGAATCAGTATTACAGTCCATTGCTGTTTATCTGTAGTGTGAATTGAAAAAGGGAATACCTTTTACGAATAATAAAAGCATATTATACGGAGTTTGTTTAGAGTCTGTAGATCTTAGATTAAATTTCTATCTCATTCTTTTGTCTGAATACATACCAGTACACTTTTCTTTCATCACTGAGATTTCTCTCTATTACATTTTAGAAAATGACAGGTCAGGGGAAAACAGCCATGGTTGCGTGCAGCCTGTAGCAGTGGCACATTGCCTTAGATAGTTCTCTTTGAAAGTGACATACTGTGTCTTTCTCTGGAGAGAATTTCTTAGTTTGGCTTTTGATAGTGAGAAAAGCTCAGTTTGGTTTGAATTTCAGATGCCTTAAAACTGAGAAGAGAGATGCTATTACAGAAATATTTTATGGGGTCGGCATAGTGTCTGTTGACTCAATGGCTTCAGTTTATTTGCAGTATTCCTCTTAAAACATGGTCTAAAAGTTGGAATAAAAATTAAGTAGTTTAAATATGTATCTTCTTATTGTAGTAGTTCAGCAATAAAGAAGTTTTACCTGAGAAGTGATATCAGACAGATTAATTTGTATCATCTTAAAATAAATTTGGTATGAGCATAACAAATTTTGGAATTCCCATTTCAGTAAAGCTGTAAAGTTTTTATGATAATTGTAATTAGCTTGCATGAAATACTTTGTGCATGTTCTAGAAGAAAGGAACCAAAATCACTACTGTTCTGTACTTTTTTTGCATGAGAAAATAGCACAAGCACTGCAGAGTGTTATTCAGTTCTTAGAATTTAAGTTCTGTGCTTTTTTTAAGTATTCATACAATAAAAGTATACTTCATATGTAAAGATGTTTCTATTTCTGAAACCTACTTTTGAAACATTCAGAATTGCAACACTGTCATCTAGGCTGACAGTTGCACTAACATAAATGGTAATAGTGGACAGCTGTTGGTTTAAGTTAGAAGAATGGCCTACTCAGCTACAATCAAGAGGATGAGACACATTGTGATTAATTAGAAGTCTGGAATGTTAATCCACTACCTTACATTCTATTATAATGGGGTCAAAGTTCTCTATTTCACCTAATTTGTATCAGGAGAGCAGTGCATTTCTTTGTACTTGACATTTTCTTCAGCTGTTGTACAGAAACACAGAACCATCCATGCTGATTGTTGTAAAAGTCATGACATTATGTGACAAGGAGCACAAATTGGTGCATCTTGATTTAAAAACAAAGACTAAATACAGAAGTCAAAAGCACAGTCTCCCAGCTCATAAGATGCTTTTAAGAGCTACAGAGTATGTTTACTGTTGTTCTTAGAAACACACACTGTATGTAGCTTTTACATCGTCTGTGATACAAAAGCTGTGACACAAGTGTCTCCACCTACCTGCTAAGTATTTGTTTTCTGCTTTGCATATTATTAAAAACTATCAGAGTTAACATCCTACTCCCTGAAGTATTTGCCTTGAATTCAGTTTTTAACCTTAGAAATCTTTTAGCGAGAGTTTTTTTTTTCCTTAAAGAGTTCTACTGGATGAAGTGCACCCTTTTTAACCCTCATTAATATGGCAGAGTTGTTACACTGGGGGATATAAGACCATGCAAAGATTTTATCCGTGCACTATGGAGAGCCTGCAAGTTGGTATGGTGGAATTCCCTTTTAATGCAGTGCCAGGTATCCCAGACTCCCACCTCCGAGAAGGGAGTGCATCTCTTTCTGCAAAGAGCCTGACACTGCCAGCTACGCCACGGAAGTCAGGCTGTGCCAGGATGTTGTTCTTCCTTACCATCTGGAGTAGCATCTCAGGTTGAAATAAAACCTGGCAAAAGAAACAAATTCTGTCTCTTATGTTGCTTTTCCTTAAGCCCCAATAACTATTTTATTTTTAGTGTCTTTCAGCTAATGAATAAAGATTCTACAACGTTGTGACCAAACTGTAGAAGCAGATAGATGAGGATGGCCTACATGGAAGTTATGACTTAGAATCACACATTTCACAATCTCAGCTCTCTTAGTTTCTTGACTGTGAGACCAGGAGAGACGCAGGCCAGTGCAGCTTCCCGGTTTCTGTCTTTACGTTCTTACATCTACCTCACCATTAGAGCTCTCAATTCAACTTTAAGGACCTGTATGATTTTCCTTGGAACAATTATGGCAAGAATCTAATTTTTGGGGGGGAATACATTTCTAAATAAATGCATGCCTTGCATTGGACAGAAAGGTAAATAAAATTCAATATATATTTCCTTCAGCAGTTTCCACTTAGATGAATTAGTATTTATGATAAAGTTCAGTTTACTGTTTCTGTCAAGCTAAATAAAACCAGTAAGTATTGCCTGCAATTACAGTTTGTGCATTACAGTGTGTTACCGATGACAAAACTGAAGCTGGGTAACTTTAACATTTGTATCTTCAAACACTACAGAAATTGTTTGCTTTAACTATACTGGAGATTGCAGGGTAAACATTAAAATTCAGTGTCTGGAATCTGACTTTAAGAGATCTCTTCCATCTGACATTTGCTCAGACATCATTATTATCATGAATAAAACAAAAGAAAGGTAAGTGTTATGTATCAAAAAAATGACTGCCATCTTACCAAGAGTTTGAACGCCCCAGAAGTTCTGAATATGGCTTTTGCAGCAGTTCTAAATCCGTTCCTGAACATATACAGCAATTTTGTATTGCTGGCAGTCCATACAATTTAATTGATACTGAAGAATTATCATGCTAAATTACAGGTGCTGTGGCAAACAACTAAGAAAACTCAGGAGCTTTTATACAATTTCTTAACTAGCATTTAAAAAAATGCTAAAGGCTTTCAAATCACAGCTAAGCCACTAGATACTTGAAGGCAAAAGAAAGTGCATAGAAAAAAACCCCACCTTGTTGTGATTTGTGAGATACAATTTTACAAGTGTTCACTGCTATTCGACCTCTATTTTATCCTAGCTCTGCAGCTGGGAATAGAAATGTGCAGACGTGCTTTGAAAGGTTAGTTAGAAGCCGAACTACATTCAGGAGGCTTTCTAGTAGAGATTTCAGACAGGGAAGACAACTGTCATTTCTGATGTACATATAATCAACATTCAACTTCTAGAACAAAAAATATATTTGATCTCCTACTGTTTAAATATATTTGAATATATTTAAACTCATACTATTAATTTTCTAATAAATGTTCTGCTTAACCAAGAAACATGTTCACGTTTGCTTCTTATACTTCTTATACTGAGATGTTGGAAGGAAAATTCTTTTTGTATCAAATTTAAGCCAAGGTTTTGCCTGCCACCACCCCTATTCCCTAGGAAAAAAAATCTCTGAATTACAGAACTCTGGGTGAATTTTGTTAGCTGATCCAACTTGTGCAGTCACACCTTCTCTAACTCTGACAAGCAAGAGGGGGTGGGAACATGGAACAAGAAGGAAGGGAAAACAGGACTGCTCCTTACAGCAGCTACTGACTGCCTTAGGAGCACTTTAATGAAACTGCACCTCCCTTGCCTTTCATTTGCCAATCAGGAAAAATTACTATAATCTGTCCCCATGTCCCTGTATGTTAGAAGAGAGCTATATAACCCTGCTTAAATTATGCACAGTGCTGACATTCTCATGACCAGAAGCTAAGCAAGATTATAGGGCACATCGGATTTCCCTGAAAAGTACCTAGGAAATACGCAGCCTGATTCGAGACACACGGAGGTAAATCCTAGAGATCAAAACAGAGCCCCGTGGCTCCAGCACTGCCAGGAGAGTAGATGGCAACTGTACTATGGTGGTACACAATGATCTTGCCTCTCAAGAGGATTATTTTTTCATTAGGCCCCACAGGCTGGAATTTATTTTTGTTTATCATGGCCTATATTTTTCTTCAGTAAAGCACAGACTGTGCTTAGTGGTTGTCAGTCCTCATTTGCTTATGCGAAACAGTGATGCCAAAGTGTTATTTCTTTACAGCTCACCCCCTGACTTTCTAAGTGCTCTGTCCTGTTAAAATGCAAATTTATTACAAGAGATGGTAAAAGTTGGTAATAACTATGTTTTCCTCTAAGTCTAATAAACGCACAACAGGAAAAATTGTATCATCCCCAATGGTTACCTTTTTTGTTATTTGTGACTAGCAGGAATACAAATGAATGTTGTCTTTTTCCGAACACAGAGATGCTTCTTTTTCAAATAATACTTCAGCGCTGGATGATTTTTTTCCACAAGTATGGGCTGCCTTCTTTTTTCCTTTTTTTTTTTTTTTTAGCATAATTCAAACCTTGCTTCACTAATAAAAGATGTATCAATAAATCAATAACAAGTATCAAAGCTGCTCCTGCTCATTGTTTGAAGAAAAAACTCATCTATTCAAAAGATGAGTTAAAGTTAAGAAAACAACTTAGTTATTTGTTATAAAACTACAAAAATAACCAAGGCGCAACCTTATCCATGAAAAAAACCAACTTCAATGATTCAAGCAGCATCTTCAAACTGAAACATGTTACACGTTAAAAGAATGATTAAGACACTAAGCTTTTTCAAAGCTCTTGTTCAGTGTGAGGAAAGATAATTTGGTATTTATATATCCACATAAATTAAACACTTAAGATTATAATTAGTACTGTTGAGATAAAGGTTAAAAAACCATACCGTAAGAGGTTTAACATAGCTTTTGGGCACCATGTTCCAAGTTTAGCATGATTCGAGCTGATCAGAAAGTGGATACTCTTTGTTCAAAGTCATGTCTGAAGTTTGTTTCTGAAGAAATGCTTGAAACAATACATTTTCTATTGAAAATGTGCTCAAAAAAATAAAGTAACAGTAATAACTGCCAAGTGCAACCAGCCCTGAATGATTACATATTCTTTTTAAAAAATAAAAAGAAAATTATTTTTCCATAGCAAAGGCCTGGTTTTTAAATTTTACCCTTCTGTAGTCATCAAGTCATCTTGATTTATGAATGCCCCTGAGACCTAAAACAAAGTACATTTAAGAATACCGCTTCAGTGGTTTTGATGGTATGAGCATTTAAATACAGCACACGAAACCTCTGGAGTTTAAATCAGTTTAATGCAAGAGCTCTGTGTGGACACGTGTTCTCCTCAGATCAAGCTCATGTTACTCATTTAAAAGCCACACGCTTGAAACGCCTGCTCTGAAGTGAGCTGATGGAACATCAAGCTTGGGGTACACACACCCTCCTCTAAACCCAGCCACGGCTAAACTGCTGTAAGAACGTAAAGGAGCTTTACCTTAAATTGCCAACATGAGCAAATCCTATTTCCCCAACCCTGCAGCTCAGGGGATACTTCCATCAGCAGAATTACGTTTTTTGTTGCTCTAAGATAAAATGGGAGTGGGAGGGTACGTTGTACAGCCCAGGCAACGACGGGAAGGAGCATGGCTGAGCTAAAGGAACA